TTAATACTGTATTTAGTGTTAAGTCGTCTTTGTAACTTTTCGCTAAAGCTAATGTATAGGGTAGAATTAAGTAAGGTTTATTATTTGAAATATTTTTTCGCGTTATTGTTGTCACAAATTGATTGAAGTAACTTATTCTGTAAGTTATTATATTATTAACGAATTTAATTTAATGTAATAATTATTGTTTTTACGTTGGGTTAATTTAATACGCTTTGTTTCTTCGTTAAGAAATTTATTGCAACAGAGTTTCAGGGCTTTATCTATTAAACCTCGAACAACAGACATATTTCTCACTGAGGGTCGGTGTACGATTAACTTCGGTTTTATATGAGTTATTAAAGTTGGTTATTAAGACATCAGGGCAAAGTATTCTGGAGAAATTTTGTCTTTCAATGGCTGACTCGGTATTTTGTGTAAATAGACTATTGAGGCGACCTTGTGCGTTATTTTAAGACTTTTCAGCACTGAGACAGATGACAAAAATATCGTCATTATGTCTTTTGAGAACCTTTGAAAATAGCGTTGGGTTCGTGTCCCTGCCACATTTTCGAAATGTTCCATAAAAATTTCGGCTATGATGGGGAAAATGGGTTGCCCGTGGATGCCCCTGTAGTTTGTTTGAAGAAACTACGATTTAAGGCGAAATTATTCTTATCTGGGGTGCAGACCGAAAAATTTTATTACAGAATTAGTTCAGAGGTTAGTACGTTGCTTAAGCGAATTTTCTTCTTGAAGAAGTTTATAAATGTTTCTAGTGGTAATGTTAACACCGAGACGAGTCGCTGGCCTCTCGATTTGGTCCGGAATACAGACATCCGCGAGGGCCTTGGTGTACAGCCTTTGCTTCTCCAGATTGAGGGGTCACAGCTGCGATGGTTTTGGTATGTGTTGCGAATGCCTCCAGAAAGGAAGGCTAAGCGACCGGCCAAAGACCCAGGGGACGGCGAAGATTAACCTGGTGCAGAAGTATGGAAGGAGTCTGTTCCAGACTCCAGTTGCCTTCTGCTGAAGCTCAGACTCTGGCACAGAGTCGAGAACGTTGGAAGCTGTCTGATGCGTCTGCCTCCGCGACCCGAAAGGGGAAGCGGTCAAGGAAGACGAGGAGGATGAAGATGTTAACATCGATATTTAGGTTTCTAACGTTGTAAGTGAACCCTAACGCTCCGTTCATACGGCTTAATCGGTTTCAGTTCGTTGTAAAACTCGTGGGAGCTACTGGTGTAAATGAGTTTCCTCTAGCCAAATATGTATTTTAGCAGTCAAGTTTGAAGCCTCTCTTAAAACGGTACACAGTAGAGACAGTAGGTCTGAAGTGAATATTAGGTATGTATTTTAGGTGTGTAGTAAGAGTATGGTGTCAGATAACTAGAGTGGAACTTGAGAGAGTTAGATATGAGGTCATGATGTAATTTTAACTCTTAACCAGTTTAGCCTCTGTTTAATTTCGTAATTCTGATCTGTAATTCGCAGTTTTGAATCTCGCTTTTAAATGAATGAGTTCTGTAATTTAGGAAGCGGCTGACCAAGACTACGAGTTTAGTGACGAATCAGAGTCGGATGAGATCGACTCTGATTTTGATATTGACGAGTACGATGAGCCGATATCAGAATCGGAGGCCGATGAAGGCACCGCAAGAAGAAAGCTCAAAAAGCCTTTTGCGAATCCACTGAAATCTACTGGAAACTTAGATGACAAAAACAAGATCTCCAGGCGGAAACGAGTTTCTCTTCCACCAACACCGAAGCCGACCTTAGGTACGTCAGTAGTGGCAGAGTCCAATCTTATTTTTGAAACGTGTCATCGGTAAATTTAAAAGTAGCTGAAGGCGGTAGGAAAGCTTTGACTGTTATCAAATATATGCTCTAAACATTTCTTACAAGAATAAAAAATATTGTGTTGTTGAACAGGTACAAATAGACCTGTACATTCCGATACTGTCAATTTTAGGGAGACTGTTTAGTGTAAATTGTAATGGAGCAGGTGGTGGAAGACTTCGATCAAACCATATAGGTAAGTTTTTGTACAAGTATTTATGGTACTAAAGAACGATGCAGTATGTGCTTCAGTATGCCGTTTTGATTGACTTCACAGACTTGTTTCAGTCAGTGCATTCTTCAGTGCGATCATAGAATGGGATAGAATGGCCTGAGCAGGCTGACCCATTTCAGAAAATATAAATGAAGAAGATGTGCTTCGATAAAGTCGAAGGTAGCTATCTGACGGTTTTCATTTCTTATGGAGTTTGCTGTGTAGTAGTTTTTTCGCCTCTTCTGTTCGATATTGCTCTAAAAGTTCTGTTTAAGATATTCATCTGAGTGAAGACAAAATTATCATTTTTGAAGGGGTAGCACAGTTCAAGACATCCTGCCAGATCTTTTTCTCACATTGATTATCTGCGCGATTGGGATTGGGATTTGTTTGGAAAATTGGCTTCGCTACTTCTTTAGCATACAACATTGGTACGAAAGCTCATCTTTTGCTTAACACCTATAAATCAAATGTTATGAAAAACCCATCTGGCACAGCCTATTTGCGTACACCGCATGAGCAGTGAAGCGGTTGAGGAATAGCTTAGTTTAGATACCTTGATGCCCTCTCAGGAAACGGCACCATCCATTGAGAATTAAATAACATTCTCGCCATTGCTTTCAAAGCTTTTGGTAGTATGTATAATATTCTAGTTGAGAAGGGAATACTGCAGACTGTTTAACTTAACGATCACAAGGAGTAACCAGTGTTTTATCACAAAAAGCTGTTTTATGGTATGGAATGTGTAAAAGTGCCATTCACGATTATACATAAAAATTAACACCTATTTGACACTTGCCTTATTAGTTATAACATAAACGGGTTCTCCTGAGCATAGCGTTATCTCGCTGGCTGATAAATCAGCAGAAAAAGCGTTTATGTTGCGAAATGATGTGTAATAGACAATTCAAAGATTATTTAAATATGAACGTCTGGAATCGCCGAATCAGAAGTCATGAAGCTGCAGTAGAATAGTTTATCAGAAGTCTGTTTTGCTGAATTTTTTTAATTTGACTAGATTATGTTATAGCTTAGAGGGAAACGCCATTGCCATTGTGACTGACAAAAAAATACTACTGATGTGTTACACCGTTTTTTTGACTCACGATTATGGGAAAGCAAGTTTTTCAAGTTTTCGCCGTAACGACTTTTACTTCTCATAGAAAAATTGTTGTTTGTTCATACCGCTTTATGTCAGCCTTGTCAGCGAGTGTATAAATTAGTTAAATGTGAAGTATATATAATTTTTTCAGACACTAATCTATATTGGCTTAGTTTCTCTAGATGATTTTCGAGTCAAGCCGCTCTCAGCTAAACTTGTAACGGGTGTTTAAAGAGTTTCACATATCTGATAGAGTTTTGTTCGACTTGTCGCAAACTGATATTTGCCAGTCATAGTATTGTCGTTTATATTATAAAAAAATTATTATATTGCTTATTATGGAGAAGTTTGACAGACCTCTGCTTTGCTGGACTCTTTCTGTCCGCCTTATTAACTTAACAGATAAACCATGTCTTCCGCATCATAACGATTCCTCTTTGTTCGCTAATCACCATTAAATAACTTTGAACTGTAGAAATATGGACGTTTCGTGGAAGAATAGCTGTTAATCAGTTTCTTTGGGTTTTCTCTGACGGTTTCTTTAAATTTTCTTTGGACTAAATTG